CTTGTCATTGTGTTCAAGTCCACCTCCACGGCTGCTCCTTTGGCCTTCATGTGAGCAATGTTATCAGGCTGATCCGCAAACATGGGAACTCCCACCATAGGGATCCCATGATAAATTGCTTCATAGATCCCATTAGTTCCACCATGAGTGATAAAAGCTTTGGTTTTGGGATGACCTAGTTTGGGGGTAGAGTAAGAAGTGGGTGTACATTTCATTGTAAGACATTAGCAGAATTTCAGAGACAGAAGGCAAAAAAAAGCTATGGCATAAATCACTACAGATGGAAATATGTTCTACACAAGCTGAGCACATGGGGCATCGCTATTTCAGAAAACTATGATCCCAGGAAAATCAGGGATTATCACCCCCTGCACTTTCTGGGAATGCATTGCTGAGGAGGTGATATCTGAACTGAGAATGAAACTTGAAGAGTGATGAGAGTCTTCCCTGAAGATGCTCTTTTGTGAACCAGAGGAAGTATGAATCTGTAAAATTAATGGCTAATTATTTAATAATATCTCCTCTAAAAGTGGGTGTCAAATTTTAAATCATTAAAAAAGGCATTGAATTTATTTGCTGTTAAATAGTTACTTAACTTGTCAATTGTCCAACTGTTCAGCTTTTCTTTCCCCATCTCTTACCAAGAAGATCATTCTGGGGTATCCAGTCATAGAGATGAGTATTGTTTCCTAATGTGGCTGGATTCTTCCCTCCATATCCCCATAAAACCTGTGGAAGATCATGCTTTAATTTTGCAAGTAAAATAAATAATTTAAAAAAGCTTGTGTTTCCCTAGCACTGTCAAGGCCCAGTAACCAAAGCTCACACAATTAGGGCATTTTAAGGCTGTAGAATAATTTAGATACCATATATTCACCCTATTTAGGTGATAGTTGAGAGGGTGTTACACAAGTGGTCATTTGCAAATAGGCAAGTACAAGAGCTTTGTTTGCATCTACATTTTGTAAAGGCTTATAGTAATGGGCTATTAAATATAGTATTATTATTTTGATATTGGTCATTTAACAGTGTTTAGAAGTCAGATTGTGAGTGAAGAAAAAGAAAACAGGACTAGTTAATCAGAATATGGGGATTAAAAATTATTGTAAGATTTATGTCCTTTAACCAATATAAAGAGTCCTTGGGTGTTTCATGAATAGGAATATAAAAAGAGAAATAATATGGAATTGTAGTGATAAAAATTAGTGTTAATTGAATATTGAGTGTCATATTAGAAAATGCATTTTCTTTGTAAACAATATTAGAATTTTAATTGTTTTTAGCTGAAGATTATTCAATTTATTAATAGAAACACTAAGTGAACCTAGGATTCTATTTCTAAACCAACTATACTTTGAAGGAGTCTTAATAATACCTATGCTTTTGAAGTATATTTTAAAGCATAATTTCTACTCTATAGAAATTCTCTCTTTCCCAGGACTGTGGAGCTAACATATTTCAGAACTTTTAGGAGCAGTCAGTACAGAACAGAAGATTTCTAATGGTAAAAGGTCAGTGGGAGCTAGCTTTCATGTCTATTTTATATGAAAATAAATGACTACAAAAAAGCATATTTTAATATTAATGCCAAAGCCTAGTAAGCAAATGGTTTAATGTGTTTATACACACTATTTTAATGTTTTATGAATCTTTACTTACACCTGCTGCTGATGATACTCAGTGTATACTGAATTTCAACATTCATTTGGAAAAAGCACTGTTAGCCACACTGTGTCTTCAATTTGTAAAATGCTGCCTACCAGGATAAGAGGCTGTACTGACCTTCTGTGGAATCTGGGCGAGGGCTGAGGCAATAATATTGGCCTTTTCTTCTGTGAGGTTTTTGACCATTGATCCCATAGAAAACACCACAACACCATGTTCATCTGAACTCTGGACAATTTCTTCCATTTCCTGTAAACATAACATTGTTACTATTGTAACAGTGCAGCATCATAGGGGAAAAAAAGTCTTTACCTACACATTTACATAGGTAAAGTTAAGAAATGTCAGAGGAAATAGACTGGTCTGTCTTCTGACATGGAGAACCATCTAGTCTCATTAAGATGAAACATGTTTCTCAAATTTATGGCTTTAATATATAATCAGTGATTACAAGTAAAAGCATGGAACCCAACAGACAAAAAATGGCAGAGTTAAGGTAACCTCCCGGATTCCTGCTCCCCAGAGAATGAGGTGTGGATCACGGTCTGCTACACATGAACAGATCGCTCTCCCGCAAAAACAGTGAGGTGAATTGGTGGAGATTCAGCGTCACACAAATCAGGAAAAAAAATAAGGTGAATGGAAGACAGGAACGCGAAACCTGGAGAGTGCGGGACAGACAATAGAGAGTGGAGCATGAGATGGCTGAGCCCGCCTGGCTAGTAAGTGCACTGGGATAAGACCCTCAAGAGAAAGTCTAGCTTCCCCGCTGACTTATAAGCCCACTGAGTCAGGGACCTGTGTGAAGTGGGTGCAGAATCATGGCAGGAAGCGTGGGGCTCTGCGGAGAGGAGACAGTAGTATGGAACATCTTGAACTCCCCAGACCTCTGTGTCAGGACTGCACTGGAGGGGAGGAGTTGGTCTGGGCTACCTCCAGAGGCAGTTAGGAGTCAGGAAGCTGGTCTCTGGCACTCAGAGGCTCCAGATCAAGGAGGTGATTACTAAGTAGAGGACTCTAACCTGGAAACCACCGCTGGCGATTAGGACTGTTCGGGTGGGCGAGTGGGAGCGAGAGCTACTGCTGGACAGGTGTGAGATTGGGGAAGGGTGCCATAAAAGAGACAATGGGGCACCCTGAGGACTCGGCTCCCTGATCTGGTGCCTGCCAGCTCGTGAATGGTTGCCTCCAGTGCTAGTGCCCAGTGGGCGGGCGATTGCCATCTTGGGGCCCACAACAATGTGGCTGCAGTGCCATGTGGTGTGGGGCGGCTCCCTTACCCCAGCCTGGGAACTCTTGCGACAAGTTCCACCCTTGCAGGACCTAAAGTCAACTAGCCAGGCCCGTTTTCTGAGCAGTGAATTGTGAATATTTCCTCAGCTGTGGGAGGCTAACGCCTGCAGGACCTGTAGGCGCTGGGGCGCTGGGTGAACTGGGGAAGTGCCCCTTCCCCCTAGCCAGCGTCTTTTGTGCACAAAGTGGTGGGCTCCACCTCTGGGGTTGCCACGGTGAGACATAAAGAGCCACTTCCCCTGTGTAACAAGCGTCAGTCCCTGGGGCTTTGGCACTGACCAATACCTGAAAGCCCAGTGATTTTCCTCGTCAGACCGGTTTAGGCCATCCAGTTCAATTGCATCTCTGCCTCTGGTCAGCTACCAACAGTGGTGTCCATGGTTAGGGAACTGAAATCCTGGCAAGAGACCAAAACAAGTTCCCCAAGTAACCCCTCCCATCAGGAACAGCCTCCCAGCTGTGGTAGAAGAACCCTGAACAACATACTAGCAGTTCCCTCTAGCAGCAGATCAAGTGGAAATACACAGGACGTGTTACTTTCCAAATGAAAACCGAAAGAAGAAAAGCAACAGCTGATCCAGATGGGCAGGACCTAGTGAAAGATTTTTGGAAGCATGAAAAATCACATGGAAAGCACACCCCCAAAGAGGAACAATAGCTCTTTAGCAATGAGAATTAACCAAGTCCAGAATACTAAAATGACAGAAGAAGAATTCCAAACATGGATTGTAAGTAAATTCAATGATATGCAAGAAAAAATAGAAAACCAACATAATGAAACCACAAAAAACATCCAGGACTTGGAAGAAAAATTCACTAAAGAAATTGAAATATTAAAGAAAAATAAAACTGATCTCCTGGAAATGAAGGACTTATTCAGAGAACCACAAAACACAGTGGAAAGCCTCAAGAACAGGGTAGAGCAAACAGAAGAAATAATCTCAGAGATTGAAGACAGCTCCTTCCAATTGAATAAGTCAGTCACAGAGATTGCATAGAAAATAAAGAAAAAAAAAAAAAACAAGCTTACAAGAAATGTGGGATTATGTGAAAAAAACAAACCTGGGCATAATAGGGGTTCCAGAAGGTGAAAAAGAAAACATACAAGGGCTGGACAACCTATTTGAAGATTTAATAGAGGAGAATTTCCCATTAGAATAACTTCAGACTTCTCAAATGAAACCCTACAAGCAAGAAGAGCCTGGGGCCCCATTCTCACTCTTCTGAAACAGAGTAATGCCCGCCTAGACTCTTGTACCCTGCAAAACAAAATTTCATATATGAAAGAGAAATAAAGACATTCTCAGATAAGCAAAGACTGAGGGAATTCACCAAGACAAGCCCAGCTCTCCAAGAAGCACCAAAACAGAATTACACAAGGATCAGCACGATAAACACTCACGAATGTAAAACCACTGAAAATTTAAAGATCAAAGGCTAGATTCCACAGTGGCTCAAGAGAGAAAACAAAGCAACAAAATGCACCCCAACAAAATGAACGGTAATTCATCCCACTTATAAGTCTTTACCTACACATTTACATAGGTAAAGTTAAGAAATGTCAGAGGAAATAGACTGGTCTGTCTTCTGACATGGAGAACCATCTAGTCTCATTAAGACGAAACATGTTTCTCAAATTTATGCCTTCCCCCATTAATAAGTTTAAGAATAAATTTGTTAGAAATATGATGTATATAGTAACATATTTTAGAAGAAGAAAATAACACAGTTAATGTTCATCTATAATCGTAATGACATTTGTGAGGCAGTGCTACTCTGTTTTCCTGATGTACAAACTCATATATGAGTCTGGCAGTAGATATATGCCCTAATTTGAGCATCAGGACAGAAGCAAAATATAAATTCCTCTGCAAATAGAATTCCCTGGGTCATCAGTGTTCTGGGCACTGGAAAGTCTGCAATTGCGGCCTTTCACATAATAATATCTGGGCCACTTTCTGGAGATACAGCCTGCATTCCCTGGCAACTATTATATTTGTGATTACCCTTGAATCACTGTATTTCTCAATTTATGACTAGTGAAATTATTAAGGGAGGATGATATCTTAAGTGAAAGTTGACTGTTATTTTCAGCTTAGTTAACGTCAGGAGAATATCTCTGAAACTCCAGGAATTGTTGTTTTACCATTCTGATTCATCTTCCAAACAGATCACTGATTGAGTAAAATAACACACAAACCAAACATATACACCTACCATACTGATTTGCATTTTTGATTTGACTGTCTCTCATTGCTTTTTATTCTGTGTATCCAATGACTGGCATAATTCTTTCATCACAAATACAATCCAAGATAGTTATTAATATTTCCCAAAGTCTATAATAATAGATAATTTGAGTTGGAATAAAAAATTCTCTCTCTTATAAAATATGTCTGAGTTGTTTCTGTGAAATTGTGTTTGTGTGTGTGTGTGTGTCTGTGAGAGAGAGAGAGAGAGAGAGAGAGAGAGAGAGAAGTAGGGGTGGGAGGATAAAGATAACAGTGTGGCATGGTTTCTCATATACTGAGCCATGGATATCACAGATATGTCATTTCTCTTATGTGTTTTTATTTAGATATTGGTATATTATCTCCTCTAATAACAAGACTCAACAGAAGTTGCTTGCAATCATACCTTGATGGTAAGAAAAGCATACTCAGAATACTAAAATAAAATTGTAAACATAAATGTTCCTTTTACTGTAAATAGAAATAAAAAACTCTCCTGAGAACACCATTTAACCTGCAACTTTCTAAAGAGATTATGTCTGCCTACAAATGAAATAAATGACATCTGTCTCCTAACTTCCTCTTGATGATTAAATGTAATGTTCTTAGCATGTTTATCTATACTCTTTTTTGTTTCTCAAAACTTTTTCTGTCTAACATTTCTGGCATTTCACATTTATTCTTTGAAGACTTTGGTATGTGGTATATATACAATCTTTTTCACTGCAGAAAAACACCCTAATATTATGCTCATATAGAACCAACATGGGATTTGAATCTCTTAGTTTTATGACTTCTACTTTATGCTGATGACACTGAATTTATTTCTAGTGCTCTCTGCTGAGATTGAGACTTTATACTGCCAAAATGATTTCTAGAAATCACCTAAAAATTCTTTTGTCTCTTCAAAGTAAATAGGTCAAAACTAAACTCCTCATTGTCAGGTCAAGGGAGTTTTTCCACCACCAATTGTTTCCTGACAGAAAAGGTCACCAAGATCCAATAAACCCTCAAGATTAAAATCTAGGAGCCCTACCTCATTCCATGTCTTCCCTCAACACTGACTTTCTCTCACCAGATTCCATGGAATTTACTCAAGGGTTCTCATGGAAGCACCTTTATCCCTCAAATTTGGTAAAATGCTCCTATTCATAACTCTACAGGCTTGTCATTAAGACTACGGCAGTGTCCTTAGCGATTTCCATGGTTGGTTTTCTGTCCTTCCCATCCAGTATCCACATTATAGACCCACTGATATTTTTGTAACATACCATTTGATTGATTTCCTTCTTCAGTTTAAATTCTAAATTTGAAGTCCTAAAGAATAAATATTACTCATAGAAGACCCACATAATGAGGAAACTAGATTTGGAGTGGTAAACCGAAGATTTCCAGAAGCATTTATCTGTTATTAAGGCTATAAACTTTAAAGGAAAATCAGGTATCTTTTTATAAGGTACATAAAATCCTTCACTGTCATACACCTACCTTAGGTAATGGTTTGGCAGGTTTGCAGTGCAGTCCTCCAACAAACTCAAAATTCGGTAAGTATGGACGAGGAAATTCCAAATCCCAATATGTTCGGATTAGCCAAATTTCAGCTTTCCCCATAGTCTCACATAATGTAGTTGGTCTTCCTGAAGAAAATGAGTAAAGTTGTTGAGAGAATTGGCATACATGTTTGCCGAGAGAAAGATGTATTACTGATTTCCTGATAAATTATTAAGGAAAAAATTAATTTAGATGCATTAGACTACTTATTATAACTATATGTTAAAAAGAAGAAGAAGTAAAGGAAGAAGGAAGGAAGGCAAGAAGGAAGGGAGAAAGTGAGGGATAGAAAGAGGGGGCGAGGGGGGAAGAAGGAAGGAAGGAAAGAAGGGAGAAATAAGATAGAGAAAGGAAAAATGGGAGAATGGGATGTAGAAAAGCACTATATAGAAAGTATGAGCTGTAACGGAATTATGAGATAACTACCTGGGAAGATAATCATGTTTAGACCATGTAAGTGCATTGCTTGGGCAAGTTCAGTAATATGTTAGGTATGAAAGCAGAAACATAGCAAACAATCTGCATGCAATAGGAGAGCAGAAAACATAGAAATGAGGTTACCATCAGAAAGACATACATGTGCTATCAAAAAAAGATGATCAAGCCTTAAAATGTTTTATTTATTTATCAGCATTAATGTTTATTAAGCAATAGTCAGAGATTATCAATATACATGTATATTCTTAAACATATACACACATGTTGATAATAGTAAAAAGGCTTGTAGAAAGTTTAATCTCTCCCAGCTTTCTCCACACACCACTGAAGTTTCTAGGCATTTGTGTTTTCAGTGTAATATCTACATGAGATCCAATCTTATTTTTAAACTAAGGTATTTGTAACTATATTTTATCCATAAAAGAACCCAGATATAAAATCATCCTCATATAGCCATCTGATCTGTCACAAGGCAGACAAAAATACACACTGGAGAAAAGAATTCTTACTCAATAAATAGTGCTGGGAAAACTGGATAGCCACATGTATAAGACTGAAAAAGGTTCCGCACCTCTCACCTCTCACAAAAATCAATTGACGA